GTAAGCCCATATCAATAAATTTAACCCAATTTATATACCTTCTACTATTATCCCAAACCCTCAATATCCATTCTCATACACGTCCCCTGGATTTCTGCTTATATAAATTAGAAATCTCAAGTAGTTCTTTGGGAGTGCAATATACTTCCTTCTGAGTCACAATTTTGTACCTCACCATTAGAAACTTGAGTCTCATTTATAGGTCTAGAAACAAAAGGAGTCCAAAGGAGAACTGGAAATATCTAGCATGGCAACTCCCTCAGCAGAGCCACTGCAATTTCCTTGGACAACGCAAGGGTTAATGCCTTCATAAGGAGGTAGAAAGGCTGCTATTGCTGTGGATGGGGAGACCATTGCCACTGGGGTTGGGGAGATCTCTTCTACTGTCAAAAAAGCTCATCACAATTCAATGGTTCAATGTTCCCGGCTTCACTAGGTCTTCACATGTGTTCCCATCTCAACTTACGGGATCTTATTCTTTCCCAGTTAGTGCCTCACTGTAACAGTAGACACCCTGCAAAGCTGGAGATTGAACTTATTTTGTAATTCACCCAATCACAAGATGAGGTTCTGTGTTTGATTTGCAGCAATTTCAGCCTCCCCCTACAAAAATAAGGCTGTCTTTCAGGGCATACCTAGAAGCTCTTGGTTCATTTATGCAATGCTGAATAGTAATTCAGTTCCCAAGCTCGTCATTTTCTTTTACTTCTTTTTCCAGTGACTTTGGAGCAACAAATCAATGTCATATTTCTTAGTTCTCAAAATGTATTCATAAGTATCATATACCATATACAAAGTCAGGTAGTTTTTTGCGTCTCATAAATGATTGACTAGGACTACTAGTTGGGGATATTTTGCGTGTCTCTATATACAATTCATGCCACAAGTTATTAGTGCCCTCTTCGTTACTAGAAATACAGTCATTAGAATCTAGTCAAATTCTGGAGATAATTTCAGAAACCTAAAAACCAATTCAGAAAACTCAGCCTTTAAACACTATACCTTTAGAACCATTCTTGGTACCAAAATCTGTATTAGCCTCAGTTCTCCAGAAAAACTGCTAGGATATATAGAAATACATCAGAGGGAATTTATCATAGGTGCTGTCTCATGCAGCCATGAAGAGCAAGAAGGCTCATAACCTACCATCTGCAAACTGGAGAAACAGAAAAGCCAGTAGTGTAATCCAGTCTGAGTCTGAAGGCCTGCCCGTAAGGGCTGATGGTATAAGGTCCAGTCTTGTCTGATGGCCTGAGAGTCGGAAGCATCAGCATCCAAGGACAGTGAAGGTGGATGTCTTAGCTCAAGCAAAGAAAATCAGTGTGTCCTTCCTCCACTGTTTTGTTCTTCTGAGGCCTCCAGTGAACTAGATAGCCACGCACATTAGGGAAGACATCATTTGCTCTACTTGGCTCATCAATTCAAATGCTGATCTCTGCCTGAAGTACCCACAGACACACTTAATAGTAGTGTTTTACCCTCTGTCTGAATCCTTTATCCCAATCTTGTTGACACAAAGTATTCACCACCACAGACAACAGTACCTGCCTCAGAGGACAATTGGCTGTGGTGATTCTAATTCTAGAGCATCAGGAGCATCAGGAGCATTGGAGCTTCCTTAAGTCATGCCTTTGAGGTCACTGCTGTCAGCTCTTGAAGGCTCAGTCATAAAGTGTCTCAGTGATGAAAATAGCACTCTAAGACTGTATCAACTAGACAGGGCACTAGAATTACAAAGAAGCTTAATCCATAAACTTACTGGTCCTGCCCCCTAGATAACAATTGTTAAATATCTTTTAGAGCACTGCAGAAAAATAATAACATCAAAGACACAATTCTTGTTCTATAAATACATTTTTGCAACACTTGGTCCCATTAGAAAATGTCCATGCAAGATAACAAAAGTGATATCATTATGATATGAAACTAGTTGTATGTTTTTAGGAGTTAAGATCTCCAGAGAACAAAGCCTTGGTTTGGATGAACAGTGTGAACAAACTCACAGGGTAATCTGCTAGCTCCGTGGTATTATCTTGTCAGGACAAAAGGAACATACATCATGTGTCCTTGTGTTGTGAATTACCAAAGGTCACTCCTCTAACCCATTCTGTACACTTAGCAGATGAACTTCACAGGACCACATAACACAAATCAATAATTTCTTCTACCACATATCAATCAGTGAGACTCTCTCTGGATTCCAATTCCTTTATTTTCTCTGCTACTAAAAATGCTTTCTTAAGGCATTGATTTCATGATCTGAAAAAGTAATTATGAGTGTTCCATTAAAGCGTTTCTCATATACTGTCTAAGCTCATGCCCTGGTAGGGCCAGCACAGTGGATGGAACTGCAGAATCTGAGTTCAGGATCCTCCAACCTAGGAGCTTATAACCAAATGCAGTGAGTTTGCCCTTTGGCCAAATACAAAGTAGATAAGCTTAAGTAGGAGGTAAAAAAGTGACAAAAGGTTTATGTCTTCTAACAAGTAAGAAGTGCACTAGAGATAATTCTCAAAACAGTGTCTCCCAAAGAAAACAAGGGGCTTTCATTGAGAGAACTATACATGTTCATATTCAAAAGACTCATTATTGCACCAGAGATAGGCATGTTCCTGTACATGCTAGGTTCAAGGTTATGCATCTATGTTCAAACAAAGGACAGACAGGAATGTGTCTAGGCAGAGAATTTAGTATTATGATAAGCAAAGCTTACTCTAAATCACCTATTAAGTCATCTAGTGAGTCATAGTAAGTGGACAATTTTGATTGGTCCTTGTGAGCTTCTGGAAGCATCTTAATTTGAAATCAAAACAGTTTTGACCACTTATGATCATTTAAAAAGTCAGCAGTCCCCTAACACACACCCTTGAAAGAGTAGGGGATATGATGGTTAAACTGAATTGTCAACTTGATTTATTTGAGAGCTGCCTAAGGGATTAGTAAGGCGCTCTTCTGAGTACCTGTGTGTGGGTCATGGTGACTTTGGGATCTCTGTCTAGTGGACCCCCTCTTCCTCCCCAGCACTGTTCTGCTCTGCTTCCTGGCCATCATGAAGTGAGCAGCCTTGCTCACCACACTCTTCCACCACGATGATTCTGCCTTGTAACCATGGACTAAGCCTCTGAAATCATGAACCAAGTCAACTTTCTCCTTTAAACTGTGTCAAGTATTTTATCCCAAGAATGAGAAAGGTGACAGCTGACCTCTAAAAGTACCTGCCTAATGGCCAACAAGCTGAGTGGTAGGATTTTCTGGCAAGATGGGCACTGGAACAAAAATGCTGAACTGAGTTCAAGGTTGAGGATACAAATGATTTTATCTTGTCATTTACTTTAAAACATTCTTTCCATGAAGTAGGAATCAAGATGGATTTCAAAGAGAAAAAATGTTCCAGATGATGAAACCATCCTGTGCAAGCACTTAAAAGACAAGGACTGTGTCATCTATTTTCTTGGAAATTCCCGAACTTCCACATCTGCACACAGAGAGAACAAGGTTAATAGACTGGAAATTCTTTGGGTAAGGACACTAGCTTAGACATACCTGGGTTTTTTCCACTGCCTTCCAAAATTTCTAGTGTTTAGCAAACACATACTAAATGCACTTTTGTTTGCTTGCTCGCTGGGGATTGAACTTGGGGCCTTTGCATTGAGGTACATTCCCAGTTTGCTTGTTAGTTGAGTGGGGAACCCCTCTGAGTTAAAGCTCAGGAATGTAAGGACACTTCCAGACAGCCCTGAGGACCTGACCCTGTTGTGAGCACTGCACACATCAGCACATAATTAAATAAGCATGACTTAGCAGTGGACAACTATGCTTACACCGTGAGGCCAGCATATAAGAATGTAAACAGGTGATAACAACCTGAAAAAAATATGCAATAGAGATGCTCTCATGCTCTGCTCTGCTCCCTGCTGCCTGTGGCTGTTGCTGATATCTTGTACATGTACATTCTTTACCTGGGGACCTCATCCATGAAAATCTCCCTTGGGACCCCCAAATGAGCTGACAGTTTTCTTTCTTTCTTTCAGTATTTGAACAGGACCTCACTAAGTTGTCCACACTGGGTTTGAACTTTGGTAGTCCTGCCCCAACCTTCCAGAGTCTGGGATTACAGATGTGCCCCATGTTAAATACATGTTCAATTAATTAAAATTGAATTGCCATTGATATTCTATAGGCTAATGAGTTTTGGTTTATGTATTCAGATTTAAACAAGCAGTCATTAACTAGATTCATACATTGAAGGATAGTTTTTTAAAGCAATGTTATGTTTATAAATCACCACAGGAAGTATTTAAGCTTCTTACCTCCTGCTTCTTTAATTAAACAATTTTGTGAGAAAATCTTATTTCCTAGCTTCGTTACAGCCATAAATCTCACAGAACAGTTTTTAGTAAGTAAATGTAGCAGTTCTCCAAGTGCTAACCTATGACTCTTTCCACATCACTGAAAATAACGTGGTGATAAATATTATCTGTAGCCTAGTAGTGAGCATAAGAATCTCCTGGGGTTAATGCTACAATGAAAATTTCTAAAATCACCCCAGAGATTATCAGTTATTAAGCATAGGGTGGAGTTCAGCCATTTCATTCATAACAAGCAGCCCAGGTGATATTGATGTAGGTATGTTTCAGTTGGCCATCACTACAATAATACTGTCACAACTCCTCACCTTTAAGTCTCACCAGCAGATAACAGCAAGCATTTTCTCATATATCTGCAGATAAACTGAAGGTTATGCTTATGTAAGCTAGGTATGTATGGTGGCAAAATGTTGATTGGCTCCAGATCTGTCCAAGTGTCTCTCATCCTCCTTGAACCAGCATCTGAGACAGGTTCTTCTCAATGAGAAAGAGGCCTGTGAGTTATCAAGTCCTACCACTTGAGCACACATCAAGCCTCTGCTTACATCTTATCTGCTGACATCCACTAGCCCAAGAAAGTCCCATGGCCAAGCATAATGCCAAGTGAGGAAAAAAAAGCTGTCCTTTGTGGAATTCTGATAGAAGGAGCAAATTTATTTGATAAACAACAATTGAATCCATGACACAGTAATACAAAAGCACTGTACTTTAAAAAGCAGTATATCTTGTAGCTTAGCATAACTGATGCCATCGTGTGCCCTGTATTTAACTCGTACCCTGTGTTTGATCCAGAAGAGTGAAAAATTACTCAGGGTACAAGTTCCACGGGAAAAGCAAAATGAATGAGCTGCACACACAAGAGAGAAAAATTAACCTGCTCAACAAAGAAGCAGGATACAGTTGTCTACCAAAATTAATGTAAGATTCTAGCTAAATTGTTTCCAACAGGATGTCTTGGTTTGTTGTTTTTTGCTTTAAATGCCCTGTGACTCTTCAGTTCAGTGCCGCTTGTTTGGACTCTGAAACAGAGGTCCACAGGTGATCACTGAGCTCAGCTAATAAAATTCCAAATTTATTAATTTGGCTGCTTGGATTCCTATATTGTTTACAAATCCACTTCAGATTAGTCTTTTGAACCATCCAGAGAAAGTAAATTAAGGCTAACTTATTTTTACTTTTGGGGGAAGGGGGTACTGGGGAATCAAACTCATGACCTTGTACTTGCCAGGCAAGCACTTGTGCCACTGAGCTAAATCCCTGGCCCAAGATTAACTTTTTATTTAGTTAGTTACACAATAAGCATTTAGGAATGACCCAAATACCAACAGACAGATAATTAGTTATTGTCTGTCTGTGAAGACTCCAGTCCAGAGATAAGCAAATAGGTAAGTACAAGGCTATGTGCAAGATATCATATAACATAAGTGACAGCAGAGTTATAATTAGAAATCCAAAACAGATTAGTAAAGCAACAAATAATGCTCTCCAGAAATTGTAAAGAGTCCTTAAAAATATGAGAAACATAAGAATCAGATTGTAAGATGAAACCATGTTCCAGGATATTCACTGAGGAAGATTGCTGTAAGTGATGTTCCAGAAGCTCCTGAAACATTCCAGACTCACAACCAGCAGAAGTCTCAGCTATGACATTTATTGGCCCAGGTTGGGGCACTGACCCATTCCTAGGCCATTTGTGTGACATCATACTCCTGAAAGGAAGAGAGAAGCCACATGGACATCCTCGGGAGCTGGTTTATCAAAACATTGGCAAAATAACAGATGTTCTCCACACTGTACACTTTACAGGTTAAAACAAGTTTATTTATGCTGATATGCAAACACCTTCAAAATATTTGCTGAGTAAAATCAAGACAGACTATTTTATGTAGGCTACTTATGTGAGTAAATTATGTATTTCTGTATGTATATTTTTATATCTGAAATGCATATAAATATTAAGAAAAGCCACATATGGAACTCTAATAATTAGTCTATCTTCAGGAATGGACTAGGATTTGGGAATGAAGTATTATAGAAAGTGACTTTGGGGTTTTTGGTTTGGTTTTTGGTGATAGTACTGGAGACAACTAGGGTCTTGCACTTCCTAGGCAAATGCTCTGCCACTGAGCTACAACCCCAGATTTTTTTGAGATAATGTTTTGTTATATAATCCAGTCTGGCCTTGGACTTGTGGTCCTCCTGCTACAATATTCTGAGTAGCTAGAGACTCTGGGTTGATCTATATTATTTAAAGCTGTTTTTCCTCCCCTCACTAGAAATCTTAACCCAAGAGAATCCTGAATAAAGGGAGTAGCAGAGGGACTAAGGAGCAGGTGACAGTTTCCAGAGCTGTGCAGGAGTTGCTGGCCTACAGAATATTAGGAGAGTAGAGTATGTGTGGTGGTGACTCCCAGGTGCTGTGATAGACAATTATGGAGGATGTTGCCAATCACCAAGAGAAAGGGGGTGTGAAAGGTACGTGTGTGGATGATGGTTGAGATCATCTTCAGCCTTGTCAATTATGAGTGCATTGTGAACATCCAGGTCAACATGGCCAACAGAAAATCTGAGATCAGTCCTAAGGTTTCACTTCGCTGACCAAGACAGCTTCCAGTATTTCATTAAATATTTATGAAACAAACCAATCTGCAGAAAACAGAATGCTTGGCAATTAGTAATTTACCAAAGGAGAGGTAGCCCACTGGGACCTAAGATTTGGACTCACCAGCTATCTCTAGTAAATTCTATCTTCTTGTTTTAGTAACCAGAACGATATAAACTGTAATTTGGTACAAAGAGAATTTAAAAAAAAAAAAAAAAAAAAACCTTATCCCTGGAGAGTTAAAAAAACAAAAGATATACAGAAAGGTGTCTGGGGACACAGCATGCCATTCTTGTACAGGGATCTCCTAGCGACAATCATGGGTTGGGGAGGGGGAGACGGAGGACCCCTCCCGGTCTTCACAGCTGAGGTCCTCTCTGTCCTCAATCTTGGCTCTCAAACACGGTTCAGCCTTGACCTCCAGAGCACCATTTCTTCCACCTGCTTGCACACCTTTTTCTTTCATCTTGTTCAAGGTTCAGAGTCTGTGGTGGCAACAAAAGTGAGAATTAGGAATAATGGCCCCAAACCTTCACGGCAATGATGTTCTGATTCCCCTGGGAACCGAGTTCTGCACCTGGCACTTGAGTGCAAGCAACCAAGCAGGACAAAAGAGCCTTTGGCCCGGATTCTTTTTCCCCACTCTGAAAAGGGGAAGCCTGGAACAAGAAGGACTTCTCTCTGCCACAACAAAAGCTGAAAACGTAAACCTACCTTAAACCTAACCACCAGCCTTTCTGAAAAACCTTCCCCTTTTCGTCTCTTTGTGTGTCACTGGCTCTTGGAACTGGTTTGTTGAAAGCAGTACCTGACCTTGTTTGTCAGAAGAGAAACAGAAAGTGCTGACCCTGAGCTTTTTTATTTGCTCCTGCTGCTAATCTAGCAGTACTACAGAATCTCAGCCGCTTCAGCCGCTGTAGCCAGGCCGGGATGTGGAATAATGAATACATAAAGCTCCTTGACGGGAGCCCTCTCTTCCTCCCCCAGCACCACATTCTGTGCTGAAAAGGAGTGAGGGAGGCCATCAGCAAGGAGTGTGCACAAAATGCAGTGGTCTGAAGGCCTGCTGGGGACAAAAGCCAATTTCACCAGCACTGTTTGACCTGCTGGAACTGTTCCTACTCAGAATGGGGTTTTTTTATTCATCGTGCTGTCTGAGTCCTGCCGTTAATTTTGACCGAGGAAGAAAGTGAGTTCCATAAGCACAGGGGCGGTGCCTCATTTGTCTCCAGGATTAAGCACAGAACCTGGCCTGAGAAAGGATAGGCGGGACTTACAGAGGCAGAAAGCACCTTTTGTGAGTATGAAAGGTAAAACAGCTTTCATTTTCAATCTACAGTACAAAACCTAGGTTATGAGATGGAAAAGATTCGAAGCACAAGGCTGGTCGGTAGCAGAGTCTTTTGCTGGTAACCAGGAGAAAATAACTCTGGCACAATAAGCTTTCAAGAAAATTTCTGCAGATGATCTATAATTCATTTACAAAGGGCCAGAGGACAGAAGAGAGGAGAATGGGTGGATTAATCATCTAATGAGCTACAGGCTACAAGATCAGAAGGCCAGTTCACATCCTTGAATGTAAGTCCCCCTAGGTGCCAACGCATCCTCCTTCCAACCCCAAACAATCCAGAAACAGAAGTCACTTTTCTCTTCTATTCCAAAGCTTCCCTTACTGCATGTAGTCCTGCCCCTCTTAGTCATAGTCGTTATAGGTTCAGCGTAGATGAATTATGCCTCCCTTCACCAAATTTTCACCGGAAAACACCCCGGCTTTTTAGATTTGACAGATTTCCCATGTGCCACCTTTACTTGCTGCTGGAGGCTGCAGAAACTTGTCCCAGGACTGCTCTTCTTTTCTGGCTGTAACAGCCCAATAAATCCTGCTATTTCAGAGAAACTGTGATCTCAAGCATTTTAGTTTAACAAGCACGAGGGCCATTTCTTGGAGGGATAGTTAGAGTACAGAGAGGATGGGAATCTAGAAACCCAAATCAAAATAAGGACTGGAGTCAAACAGCTACAAGGGAATTAGAGATGACTTCACCTTTCCACCGAGGAGTCAATTCACTCCAATGTTTTCTGTCCCTGCCATCATTCTGCTCAAGATGGTAGAAATGCTGGGGGAAAGAATGAGATTAAGCTCAGTTCCACAGTGGAGGGTGTTAATAGTCATGATTTATAGGGGAATAATATTTAATACAGGGCACACAATTTATAGAATTATTTTATGATATCAACACAAAAATTGAAATGCAAAAGAGTGTGGGCGATCTGTCCACACACTAGAGGCCCAGAGAATACAGGTGAGGTGCTGGATCTCATGGCAATGTTCTGCAAAAGTCCATCTGAAGACCTAGAGCCCACGGCAATACTCTCCATGTGTCCAGCTAAAAGCTTAGAGCCCATGGCAGTGTACTCCATGAGTCTAACTGGAGGCTTAGAGCCCACAAAAATGTCTCGTGAAAGTCTGTATCAAGGATCTGCACTGGGAAGGCCCAAAGGTCAGTGATGGAAGCCAGAAAGTGTGCGCCAGTAGGATGAAGGATCTGTGTTGACTGGCTGTGATCTGCACTGGAGCCAGCAAAGTGGTGCTCCAAGTAAGTACGAGAGCTTCCCCCAAAGAGAACAGCAGCTATCCCTGGTAACAGAGGACTTGAGCTTATCTGATAATCACAGCTGAGTTTATATCTCAGCAGGAAAACCAGCACAATGAGCTTCTCCAGGAGAATCAACAGTGCACCATCTTGCCCTCCAGATTTCTTTTTATGCTATTGACAACAATCCTTAGGTGGGCCTTCCACACCCAGCACCACCCTGATTCAGTTTTACTGGGTGATATAAGTTGACTTATCAGTTAACACACTACAGAGAGCAATAGGCATGACACAACGCCTTACTTACACTAGGAAATGGCCCGCTGTTGAAAAGAGGGTGTGTACTGTGTGACCAAAGTTAGATGTTCATCCCAAAGATGTAGGACTCAATCTCACGTACATTTGATAACAAATTTTGCAAGCTTTTACTTTTCCAGCATAGCATAGACAGTGGTTCTCAATCAGTGGAAATTTTGTCATTTGTTAACATCTGACACATTTTTTATTGTCATTTTGGTTTTAGCTGGGAGAAAGTGCTAATGATATCTAATGGATAGTGTTCTGAGATGCTACTGAAAATCCTACAACGCACAGGACAGCCCCTGTACAAAAGAATGATACAATCCAAAATGTCCATAGTGTGAAGGTTGATGAACTCTGGTATAAAAAATGATAGGGCATTGAAACACTGTAAGTTTAAGAAAATACATTAATTAAATTTGTCAGAAGTTCAGGTTACATAAAAATTCAGAACTGGTGTGTGTGTGTGTGGGGGTACTTTTAAAACCTTCAGTCTAGATTTTCTGAGATCTTTAATGCCAAATTAAATTTTCTAGACTCTACTTAATAATACTGGATGCTTCTCAGACCAAAATTGTCTTAATTTCCCCTGGGTTTGGCAGATTTCTCTTTTTATCCTAAATTTATTTCTAGAAGAACTTTGGAGCATAATCAAATAAAATAAAACTGTTAGAGACCTCCTGGGTACACATCCAGGGCCTGTGCCAAAAGTTTATCTTCTCTATGTTCTGGGCATCGCTTAGGTGTATAATGTCGGAAAAGTCATTGCATGTTAAAGTAGGTGCTCCTGCTAAAGAGATAAAGACTCTTTTCAGCATTCTTTCAAGTCATTTGACCACCAAGTAGTCTTTATTCTTTCCAGAACGGCCTGTTCTTAAAAGGAACACATTTCAAAGTCCTCCTGATCTGCAATCAGAATGTACTTACAGTGTAGTACAGTTTAATTGGTGGTAGCACTTTTTTCTTTCTTAGAGATATATAAAATAGTGGCACTTACAATCAACAGCCCTTTAAATTACATGCAGGTGACATAGGTTATATTCATTTTTCTTTGATTGTCATTGGTTGCATTTTATTCACACTCATTTAAAAGAATTGACTGTTGAATTGACCGAATGTGAATGTTAGTGTTGAACTCTGGCAGAATTCTAAGATTTACTATACAGAACATCATGATAGAACTGGTCCTTCTCTGTCATCATTATTTTATAATTAGAATTACAGCTCGGAGATTGAACAGAAGAGGTTTTGTAACCATGCAACCATCTCCCCAGTGGGAACATCCAGGGTCTACCCTCAATGAAATATTTCATCTGCGTTTCAAAGCTTTTAAAGAGTATGTGAATGAAACATTCACTCGAGGTCAGATTGCCTTGGCACACACTGTTGCACTGTTCTTACTTTGCACAGACTTCTTTGGGCCATCATTACATAATTTTATTTGTACAAAGGAAATGGAATAAAATTTCCTTGTACATCCTCTCTCTGTTTTTCATTTTTATTCTCTAACAGAACTTCCTCCTTTCCTTTTTCATCACCATACATCATTAAGATTAACATGTAATGAGCTCTTACCTTCTTACACTGCATCTTCTAAGAAGAAAAGGCATAAGACCAAAGAAGGAGACCACAGGGATGAAGAGTGGTGAAGAGCAAGCAGTTGTGAATTTCCAAGAAATATTTATGAGCTGATTTAAATATTAATGAGCTGGTAGTCTGACAGCAAAGAGAAGACTAAGTCACAGCACAAAATCTCAGCTTGGCTGTAGGTTGTCTTGTACTGCCACAAGCTGTACAGTAAAATGGCCACATTCTAAGCCTCTTGCTAAACAGGCATCTCAAAATTCTGGTAAGTGAGAAATGACATTTTCCCATTTCAGCTTTTCTAAATTTCCACTATAGTGCTTGCCAATCTACCTGAGTTTCTCAAAGTCTGAATGTAAAAACTACTTTACTCTTTTATTTAAATGACTACTGTATTAGAAATTACTCATTCAATTTTCTTTTTCCGTACACTTCCAGAATCAACCAAATAGTCTGTCCTGACTAGTTTCTATGCAGCAGCATGAACAGCGTCTCAAGAGTATAGTAAGAGGTAATTTATCTGAAAATGTCTCCTGTCCCAGCCTGACTGCAGAAAAATACTTCAGTTGCCTATGGGTAAGGAAAGATAAAAACACTTGTTATTATAGTAAAACAAATTTAACACCAAAGAGCTTTTTACATATATTGCCTTAGGTGTGACAATCTGCCACTTGATCCAAAATAAACAATTGGCTTACTGGCTTTTGTATTTCTAATCATATTTCAAAGCCCCACACCAGCTTGTTTGTCTTTTTCTTTCTTTCTTTCTGCCTCTCTTTCTTTCTTTCTTCTTTTCTTCCTTTCTTCCTTTCTCCTTCTTTCTTCCTTTCTTTTCCTTTTGAAGGGGGCTCAATTTTTTCCTATAAAGATGCTAAATGGGGAGCAAACAGAGAGTCTCTGGAAAACTAGTCATCCTTAGAATTGGGGCATATTATATCCCAACAGTTAAACAGTCCCATCATTCAGAAACCCTGCACATATGCGACATGTGCCCCAGGGATTTGGTAGCAGCAGGGCTGGCTATCAAGTAGGGTAACAGACATACTCACTTAGGATACAAAATATGAAGTGACACTGAAGCATCCTATAATCCATATGTGGTTTTTTAAATAAAAATTAATGCAAGTCAGATAGTGTGGTTCCTTTAGCTTTATGCTTTTTGTTTCAGATTGCTTTGGTTAGTCAGGATTTTTTGTGGTTCCATATGAATTTTAAGATTATTTTTTCTATTTCTGTGAAGGTTATCTTCAGAATTTTTATAAGTATTATCTTGAATCTGTAGATTGCTTTGGATAAAGTGGACATCTAACAATATTAAATATTCCTATCCATAAGCATAGAAAGCTTTCCATTTATTATATTTATTCCTACAATGCTTTATAGTTTTTAGTGTACATATCTTTTACTTCCTTAGTTAGATTAATTTGTAGTTATATTATTTTGTAGCCATTGTAAATGGGAGTGTCTTCTAATTTCTTTCTTAGAGAATTCACTGTTAGTAGAATTGCTACTAAATTTTTGTGTATGTGTTGATTTTGTATACTGAAACTTTCCTGAATTAACTTATTAGTTCTAACAGTTTTATGACTGAGTCTGCAAGTTTTCTTCATATGAAATCATGCTGACTTCAAACAAACAACTTAATATTTTCCTTTCAATTTAGAAGCCTTATATTTCTTTTCTCTTACCTAATTGCTGTAGTTGGGACTTTCAGTGCTATGTAAATAGAAGAGGCAAGAACAAACATCTTTGTCTCTTTTCTGATCCTAAAGAAAAAGCTTTCAAATTTTCTGAGTGTGTTGTTAGCTCTGAGTTTGTCATATATGGCCTTTATTATGTCAAGTTACATTTCTTCTTAACCTAATTTCTTCTAAAACCTACTTCAAAATATACTACAAAGCTATAGTAATCAGAACATTTTTGTGCTGGCATAAAAATAGACACATAGAACAATGGAACACAATAGAGAGCTAAGAAATAAATTCCTGCATTATGATGAATTGATTTTTGACAAAGATCTAAAAACACATGACAAAGAAAGGACAATCTCTGCAATAAATGGTGTTGAGACACTGGGCACAGAGGTATACACCTGTTATTCCCACATCCTGGGAGGCTTAGACCGGAAGATCACAAGTTTAGCCCAGTGTGGACAATTTAATAACTTAACAAGACTCTGTCTCAAAATAGAGAATAAGAAAAGGGCTGGGTTAGGGATGTATTTCAGTGCAAAGCCTCTGGGTTTAATTCCTAGTACCTAAACAATTGGTGTTGGGAAAACTGGATATCTCAATGAAAAAATGAAATTAGATCCTTACCTCACACCATATACAAAAATCAACTCAAAATAGATTAAGAATGTATATATAAGACCTGAGAATATAAAACTACCAGAATCAAACATTTATAGAAGCTTCATGACCTTGATCTAGATAATGATAGTTTGCATAGAGCCCAAAAACAGAGGCAGAAAAATAGGAGAACAGAATTACACTGTATTACTCAGCTTGCTGGGACACATTATGTGACACTCACCACTTAAAGGAGAAGAAGTTCACTTAGCTCATGACTTCAGGGATTCAGTCAATGGTTGGCAAATTCCAAGGCAAAAGCATCATGGTAGAAAAGCATGGAGAAACGAAGCTGTTTAGTTCATGGTAGCAGGGGAGTAGAGCAAAGGGACAATGACAGTAACAGGAACTATACAAGGCCATGCCTTCATGACACACTCAGACACACTTAGAGGTATGCTCCAATAGTCCCCTGAGCAGATCCCAAGGTCAATCAAGTTGCCACCCAACCCTAACTGCAACATACATCAAACTAAATTTTCACACAACCGAAGAAACAATCAACGGAGCAAAGAAACAACTTGAAGAATGGCAGAACGTATTTGCAAACTAAACAGTTAATAAGTACAATTTATAAAAAGCTCCCATCACAGGCTCAAGGGTAAACAACTCAATAGTAAAAAAAAAAAAATCTCATTGTTAAAATAAGCAAAGTAGTTGAATAGACACATCAAAAGAAGACATACAAATATCAACAGGCATGTGAAAGAATGCTTGACATCACTGATTAGCAGAGAAGCTCAAGCTAAATCCACAATGAGATATTACCTTGCACCTCAAAAAGATGAAAGATGACAAATGCAGGCAAGGATGTGGAGAAAAGAAACCTTTATACACTATTTAGCAGAATGTAAATTTATACAACCATTATGGCAAATATTGTAGAAGTTCCCTAAGAAATTAAAACTAATACTACCATATGGCCCAGCAATCCCACAATATGTATTTGTAATGAGTAAGCTTGATTGTCAATTTGATTATCTCAGTAGCCACTTAGGGGATTAATAAAGCATATTTATAGGTGTTTCTGAGTTGGCCACATAGACATAGTTTTGGGTACTACATATAGTCCTTGGCTCCTTCCTTTCTGGCACTGTTCCCTGCTCTGCTTCCAGGCTGCCATAAACGAAGTTGCTTTGCTCCAGCATGCCCTTCTATTATGATGTTTCTGCCTCGGAGCCAGTCAGCCACTGTGACTCCTCTGAAACCCTGAGCCTAATTAAACCTCTCCAAGTTGCATGTGTTATGTGGGCATCGAATCACTGTGGGTCCCAGTGACTAGAGAACTGACTGATACAATATCTAAAACAAAATAAATCAATATGTTAAAGAAGTGTATCCTTTCCTGTGTTTCTTATATCCTTATTTATAGTAAACAACTAGAGAATCTGGCAAAGAATCTATCAGTGAATCAATAGATTTTTTAAATGTGGTATTTCTATTCAATAGAATATTGTTTAACCTTTAAAAGAAGGAAGTCCTGTCATTTGTGACAATATGGGTGAATCTGGAAGGTACTACAGAAAGATAAATACCACATAATTTCACCTAGATGTATAAACTACAAAAGTTCAACTCATAGAAATAAAGAGTAGAATGGTAATTACCAGGAGCTGAGGAGATATTGGTCTGAGTATAGAGATTTCAGTTTGACAGGAAGAACAAATTCAAGAGATCTGTTTTACAAAATGGTCACTATTGTTAATAACAATGTATTATAGTCTTGAAAACAGTCACGAACGTTTATAACAAATATTCAAGGCAAATGAGTACCTATCTACTAATATGGAAAGATCTTTAAAACCTAAGATTAATGGTTTTTTGTAATGTATATTAGTATATAAAATATTTTAAATTTTGATGGAATTATTAGCTGGGGTAAGGAAAGACAAGGATAAAAAGAAAAATTTTCAATATAAGCCATTTATTTTTCTTTTAATTTTGAACTACATGGATATATTTATTAAAAATAAAATTTCGGGGCTGGGGTTTTAGCTCAGCGGCATAAGTGCCTGCCTTGTAATCAGGCAGTTGTGAGTTCAATCCCTGGTACCGATAAAAACGAAAAAGACCAAAAAAAAAAAAAAAAAGAAAAAGAAAAAAAGAAAACCAAACTAAAATTTAAAACCTATAATGGTTAACTATTATGTACATGAAAATTCCAAATCCATTACTTGGCATTCAAAAACAATCACAATTTGCCTCAAATCAATCTTACCATAGTTATTTTTTAACTAATTGCTCTCTATCCATACCCTCAGTACACACACACATATGCTGCCAACTCTAATCTAAAAATAATCACCATCAACAGTATTAGAAGTGATCATTTTTAACTTAGTATCTATGAGAGTTTTCTGTATCATGAATTTTTTGGTTCATTTGGAGATCTTGTGGTTTTTTAATATATTAGTACACGCCTTTTTCAGTAGCTAGATAATATTCTATCTCATAAGGGCTGGGGATGTAGTTTAGAGGTGGAGAGCATAGTTAGTATTTGCAAGATGCTGAGTCAATTCTTTATACCATCAAACCAAAAATTATATATATATGCATATACTTAAATATATTGATATATATAGCATATATTGTATATTTAATATTATGTATGTTTGTCTGCAACACAAAATCAAAAGTCCTTCCATATCCCTCCTGCATTTTTAATAAAAAATTGTTATATATATTCTACCACATGAATACATAATTTAACCTGAATTCCTGTTGCTGGACATTTATATTTTTTCTATTATAGTTTTTTTGACACGTACAATGTTGCAATAAGTTTCTTGGCATACTTTTCCCATAATATCAAAGTAGAATTGTTAAACAAATCTCATGTTCATTTAAAAATTTGGCTGATTTTATCAAGTTTTCTTTATAAAAGTCATGTCACATTATGCTTTATTCAGAGACTGCTGTTCAATCCCTGGAACAAAAAAAAAAAAAAAAGACTCTTGTTCTGAAAATATTTCCTTTTACTTCACCAATATTGATTTTGAAATTTTAAAAGTTGTCTAACAGGCAAAAACTTTCTTTTTATGCTTAATTTGCATTCCCTAAATTATAAGAATAAGCATGTTTTTACATGTGTATAGGAACTGATTTTCCTTTACCCATGAACTACTTTAATTTTGTAGAATCAAATGGAGTGATCAATGTCTGTTACAACTACAGGCTTTGAGGTTGTGTTCAAGAAGCCTTGTCTACTTCCACACGCTACATATGAAAAAAAAAATTCTCTTACATTCTGTCTAGTCTTTGTAGATTTTTACACATTTAAATCTTTAACCCACCTGGATTGAGGGAAAGCTAGCTACCTGAGAGATAAAAATCAAAATTTAATATTTTTCGTTATCCCACATGTCTTCCCAAATAATTTATACCCTCGCTGGTTCAAATTCCAAAACTAAATTCTGTTGGCAAGAATATATGCGATTTGTTTTAGGTTCTCTGTTTACCAATATCCACCTGAATGGCTCTTCTTCCATGACACCACGTCACTTCAATTATTAGAGCTTTACGGCAAGACTTTACCCAATAAGGAGGCTCCTTCTCCAAAAGCTTCTTGTCTATTAGCACTTTTAATCTTCCAGGTTATTTTACAGATTTGAGGAAAATAACGTTTTTATAACATCAAGCCTTTCCAAGTCAAATGCTCAAAATGTCATATGAAATCATTAGATCATTACTTAGTGACTCTAAGGGCAGATTCTCATGGACATGTTTGACTGAAATAGTTGTGTGAGACATCTGCGTCCATGACCTAGTTGTGCAATTCTCATTCTTGTGTAGACATGTGAGAATTACCTCAGTATTAGAAAAAATGAGCCTTGAGCAAAAAAAGAAAAGAAAGAAAAGCCCCTTCAAAAAATTTTAATAGAAAAATGAATCATTCATGTCTGTAGTGAGAGTGAAGCTCCTGCCACGATCGTGTGTGCTGTAGATTACATGCATCTTGGTGTGGAATTCTTGACTCCTTGCCATTAACAATATAAGAATAAATGCCATTTAATTCCACCCAGCTGTTCCTGAGGCCTTCCATGGGCGGGTTTGCTCATGGGTGTTTCATTCAATTTGCAAGAAAACATGTACCCCTCGACTGCTTGGCATAGGGCCAGATGTGCTAGGATGGTCCAAACACCCCACTTTGAGCTAGAGAAACCACGAAGAACATTCATGTTGCAAACAAAATCCAGCCCTAGGTATTCTGCTGCGGGCCCTGCCAGTTCATTGCCATGAACTTGCACTTTATTATACTGAAAAACCAGTGCTTTGTATTCAGTCTGAGATTTTCTAACATGGGATTTAAAAAAAAAATCTTTATATTGAAATATTTATTATTTAAATATACAGTAAATGGAGGAATGGAAATAATTAAATAGAAATTACACTTTATATGATATTTAAGAGATACTGATCTATGTAAAAAGATGTAATGAAAGAGAATGTAATGTTCCTAATCCAAAAAGGAAAGATTCTTTTGCTTAACTATATGCTACCAAATTGATCGATGTTGTGCCTGTTTGTATTTAAGTGCCAAAAAAATTTCAGTTTCTGCAAAGTAGTCATGTCCCATTTCACAGCATGTAATTCCAGTATTTAGTTCAAAATTATCCTTTTCATTTGAGAAACAAATAAATGAAAGTGAGTTTGACACAGTTTGCTCTTTTGTTATTTTGTTTCATTTTAATATTTCCCAGGCTATGTTAGAAGTTTCCAAAATTGCATACCATGGCCAAAATCATACCAGGGGAGCAGCTAGTATGACCAAAGCCATGGGGCACAGTGCGATGGAGAAGTTCACTGAAACTGAAATACAGCTGTGTGGGCTTGTGACCGTCCCAAACTGAAGTGTATTTATGTCTCTGATAGATAGATATGGGGAACAGAACAAAGAAAGGGCTCGGAATAAGAAGCCACTTGGTAGAGAGTACATATTTGATCATAATTAAATCTCTAGAATATTCTGCTTTGAGAACTCTTTCATTATTTAAATTAACTGTTTGCGTTTTGACTTATTCATTGAACTCTTAACATTTCCATAGGGGGAAATCCATAGTCTATCAAGTTACACTTTAGAAAAGGAAATATTTGTTGAGCACTTACCATGTTTCAGACCCATGCTAAGACTTCTCTTGGCAACTTCTAATCAACCATGTTAGACTAAAATACTTCAAATCCACATTAATTTACCTCATGGAGTTTTTTAAATAGCTAAAAATATATTGCATAATCTGTTAATGCTTAGAAAAAGGGACTTTGGGAATTGAACCAAATGAGGGCTTTTCAATACAAGGCAGTTTTCTCTGACGTACAACTAGTCGAATTAAAAGATTTTTAAATGTTCTCAAACACTACCATGCAGCATAACCCTCTTCCATGTTTTCCAAGGTGTGAATAAGAAGGAAGGTGCTAGAGAGAGACTGACTGAGACAGGGTTCACTGTTAATCACTTTCTACACTTGCCTACAACAACAGAGGCTAGAAAACAAACGTCTACATTTTCCAAACTCGGCGTAGCCAGAGTTCTGGATGTCACTTGAGCTCTGTTGATTGGATATACTCACATTTGATTTGGAGATGGAGCAAAGCCAAGATCATTTTACTCTGACTATTTCTATGGGGAAATGAGGCCTTGAAGACAGCATCAAGAGGCAGGTAGGGCTGAAAACTCGGACTTCCAGTTTCTGGTCATCAGCTTACAAGGTGGAGAGAGCCATGTTCAGCATGGCAGAGGCTTCCTGGAACCTAGTTCCCTGCCGTATTGCCAAACTCAATACTGTCACTGACTCCCTACCTCTCCAGTCCTCTGATAGTTTTAGAAGTAGTATCTAATTCCTTATATTAAATTCTTATCTACTTAAAATACCTAGATTTGGTCTATTTTCTTTACTAACTCCTGATACAAAGTTCTTGAAAAACTTCATAAGGTCCTCTGAATTTAAGAGTCTATACCCCTACTGACAACTTACCCCCAGCAAGAAGAAAATGCTAAAGGTTTAGCATATGTATAAACCATTTCCTTATAGGCAGATTGATTCTAGAAAAGTCAGAATCTAGGAAAATTCGAATCAGGAAACACTAGCAATAGTAGCAATAACTATATTTTCTATACATTCACGGTCATTACTCCATTCAATGCTTATAGAAACTCCATTTTACAGAAGAGAAACCCAAGTTGGAGAAGGAGATGTGACAAATGAATCGGAGGTCAAAGAGACAGAAATCTAAGGTTGCTGCTGGCTTCAATGAGGGATGATGGGACCATGGGCCAAGGAATGCAGGAGACTAATACAAATATTTAGGGTACATATTGATGTCTTACCA